ATGCTGTCAGGAGAGACCAATGCCTGGAGAAGGAAGTCAGGCTTGGGAAAGTGGAGGGGCAGCAAAAAAAGAGGAGGTCCTTGATAAGACGGACTGACACAGTGGCTTCCACAACAGCCTCAAACAAAAGAATAATTGGGAGGATGGTGCAGGACCGGACAGTGTTGCGTTCTGTGGTGCATAGGGTTGCTCTGAGTTGGAACCAACTTGATGGCACCTAACAACAACAACAACAACAACAACAACAAATATAATGGGTTATAATAACAAAGCGAATGTTCTAAACTTGTAGTGAAGATTGCACAAATCTGTTTAATCTATTTAAACCATTGAATTATACAGTATATGAATTTTATGCCAACAAGACTGTTTAAAAAAAGATTAAAATGATTGTGTCCCACAGAACATAAAATTCAGTGACGCTGAAGACAAATGGGTGCATAAGCAAATGTGGCGAAGAAAGCTGATGGTGCCCGGCTATCAAAAAGTATAGCGTCTGGGGTCTTAAAGGCTTGAAGGTAATCAAGCGGCCATCAAGCTCAGAAGCAACAAAGCCAACATGGAAGAAACACACCAGCCTATGCAACCACGAGGTGTCGAAGGGATCAGGTATAAGGCATCATCAGAACAAAAAATCTTACCATAGTGAATGATGGGGGGAGTGCGGAGTGGAGATCCAAAGCCCATTAGTAGGCCACTGGAGATCCCCTTGCAGAGGGGTCTCGGGGAGGAGATGAGCCAGTCAGGGTGCGATGTAACAATGATGAGAAATACAACTTTCCTCTAGTTCCTAAATGTTTCCTCCCCGTTCCCACTACCATGACTCGAATTCTATCTTGCAAGTCTGGCTAGACCAGAGGAGGTACACTGGTACAGATAGGAACTGAAAATACAGGGAATCCAGGATGGATGAGCCCTATAGGACCAGTGGTGTGAGTGGCAAAACAGGGAGGGTAAAGGGAGAATGGGTAGGAAAGAGGGAACCGATTACATGGAACTGTGTGTGACCTCCTCCCTGGGGGACAGACAACTGAAAAGTGGATGAAGGGAGACGTCGGACAGGGCAAGATATGACAAAATACCCATTTATAAACTATCAAGGGCTCATGTGGGAGGGGGGAGGGGGAGGGAGGGGAAAAATGAAGACCTAATGTCGGGGGTTTAAATGGAGAGAAAATGTTTTGAAAAATGATGTACAAATGCGCTTTACACAATTGATGTGTGTATAGATTGGGATAACAGTTGTATGAGCCCCTAATAAAATGTTTAAAAAAAAATTCAGTGATGATAACAAAAGGAGTATTCAGTACAATCAACCACATGCAAGCAAAAGGGCCGCGTATGTCTAAAAACCAAGTCCAGAAGGCAGGAAGGGCAGAAAAGGAAGAATAGAAACAGGGAATCCAGGGAGGAAATGGGAAGAACTCTATCACATCCAGGGGATTGTAATCATTGTCAAAAAACAAAATGCAAATAAAGTATTGAATGGAAAATTAATTGGCTCTGTAAACTTTCGCCCAAAGTACAAAGTCTATTGTGTTGGGATCCAATCACCCTTCAGATGTGGAACTGAACTTACTCCTTTGTGAGAAACATCAACAATTCAAGATAAAAAGGGCTGTATTTACCCCCGGACAATGTTCAGCAGGTTGGGAAGGAAGAATGGACACAGGAAACACAGGCAGGGAGAGGGACATGTGACGGCCCACTGAGGGGATTGTAAGGTGTAAATTGAGACAAACGTGTATGAACTGTCGGATCTGCTCTGTAAGCCTTCACCTAATTCACAGTAAAAGTGTTTGGTGTTGTTTTTAAAAGCCTATTGTGATTGTCTTCCTCACCTCAAAACCCCTTCCTGTCTCTCACACACAAAAATACTCTATTGAATTGTACTTGTATTTTGGCCATTCTTACAAATTAAAATGTAAGCATCAACGATCAGTTTCCACCTTAAGAACTTATAAAGAAGAAGAAGCCAGAAGTAAACAAGGTCAATGATGTAGAAAATCACACATAATAGAGAAAAGATACCAATGAGACCAAAAACTTGTTCTTTTGAAAAGATAGATAAAATTGATGATACACAGTCTTCCTGGTAGGAGAAAATGAAAAGGACAAAAATTACGCATATCATGAGCGACAGCAGGAATCCAACTCCGGCTCCTAAGAGACTTACAGGACAACAAGAAATCTTGTTCACAACGCGAAACAAACTCGGCAACTGAGCTGACAGGAGCAATGACTTGAAAGACATGAACTGCCAAAATGCATCCAGAAGAAGAAAATAGCTGGAAGAGTTCCAGATTTTCTAAATAAATAGAATTCATAGTTTCAAAGCATTACAAAATGAAAATCTCTCTCACTCTTAAATTCTACCTAGCATTTAAGGAAGGCAGCATGCCAATTCTGTACAATCTCTTAGAGAAACTCAAAGAAGAAGGAACTCTTTTCCAAATTATTTTGTCAGAGCAACATTTCCCAATAATAAAACCAATAATCCACAAAAACACAGACGCCAAAATCCTTAACAAAATTTTAGCAAATCAAATCCAGCAATCTATTAAAAATATAACACAATGTAGTCAAGTGGGATTTATCCAAGAAATGCAAGGCTTAGTCAACACTTAAAAATCAATGTAACGAAATTATGAAAACAATTCTATTTACAGTGCATCAAAAAGAATAAAATACCTAGGAGTAAATGCAATAACAAAAGCATAAGACTTCCACACCAAAAACTACAAAACTTTGAGAGAAATTAAAGACTGAATAAATGGAAAGATACCCCAAGTCATGGGTTGGAAGACTTAATACTATGAAAATAATGAAGTTCCCTAAATTGATCTACAAGTTGCTTGCAAGCCCAATCAAAACCCCAGCTGAGGTTCTTTATAAAAATTGACAAACTGTTCTTTGATGCCTGATTCCTGATCCCATTGACATCTCATAATCACACAGGCTGGTGTGCTTCTTCCATGTGGGCTTTGTTGCTTCTCAGGTAGATGGCTGCCTGTTTATCTTCAAGCCTTTAAGACCCCAGATGCTATATCTTTTGATAGCCTGGCACCATCAACTTTCTTCACCACATTTGCTTATGTACCCGCTTTGTCTTCAGTGATCATATCGGGAAGGTGAGCATCATGGAATGCCAGTTTAATAGAACAAAGTGCTCCAGGATTGAGGGAGTACTTGAGTAGAGGTCCAATGTCCATCTGCTACCTTAATACTAAACCTATAAATATATGCACATAGATATATTTCCCCATTGTCATATATCAATTTCTTTATATATGTACATGCCTGTATTCAGACCTCTATAAATACCCTTTGCCTCCTAGTTCTTTCCTCTATTTCCTTTTACTTTCCTCTTGTCGCACTATCACGCTCAGCCTTGTTTGGGTTTCAGTAATTCCTCTCAATTACATTGCCCTTGATCAAGCCCTACCAGGCCTCTTACACCCTCCTCACCACTGATTTTGGATCACTTGTTGTTCCCTTGGAATGATATGATACCCAAGCACATCACTGTGAATGAGGGGGAATGCGGAGTGGAAACCCAAAGCCCATCTGTAGGCAACTGGACATCCCCTTACAGAAGGGTCATGGGGAGGAGACGAGCCAGTCAGGGTGCAGTGTGTAGCAATGATGAAACGTACAATTTTCCTTTAGTTCTTAAATGCTTCCTCCCCCCAACTATCATGGTCCCAATTCTACCTTAGAAATCCAGCAAGACCAGCGGATGTACACTGGTACAGATAGGAACTGGAAACACAGGGAATCCAGGACAGATAAACCCCTTGGGACCAATAATGAGAGTAACAATATCAGAAGGGGAAGTGGAAGATGAGGTAGAAAGGGGGAACTGATCACAAGGATCTACATATAACCTTCTCCCTAGGGGATGGACAACAGAAAAGTGGGTGAAGGGAGATGTCAGACAGTATAAGATATGACAAATAATAATTTATAAATTATCAAGGGTTTGTGAAGGAGGGGGAGCGAGGAGGGAGGGGAAAAATGAGGAGTTGATACCAAGGGCTGAAGTAGAAAGCAAATGTTTTGAGAATGATGGTGGCAACAAATGTGCTTGACACAATGGATGGATGTATGGATTATATAAGAGTTGTATGAGCCCCCAATAAAATGATTTAAAAAAGAAAAAAAAAGTTTGCATAAAAGTAATGGATTTTTTCAAAAAAGAAAGAAAGAAAAGAAAAGCAATGGACAAACGGATGCTACATACTCCGTGAAAATTCAAGGTTCACCAAAGCAATCTTAAAAGAAATGTGTTGAAGGGCTTACATTTTCTGATTTCAGAACTGCTTAAAAAGCTGCAAGAATGAAGATACTATCCCATTGGCTATTACAACTAAATCATACGGAAAAATAGCTTGGGGTCTGAATGAACTCCTGTAACTCTGACCCTGAGATAATCCTTCAAATTTAAATTAAAACTATCCCCTGAAGTCTGGTCAAAATCAGTGTTTCAGCCCAACTAGTAAAACAGATCTGCCCGCAGGATGATGCTTTTAAAGGAGCCATCTCTATGGGATCCCAGTGAGAACAGCAGCTCTGGAGGGAAGATGGGAACTCAAGGGACAGTGCGCTTAGATTAATGGAGGAGGAACCACTCGGCATAGGAGGGGGAGGGTGGTCATCCAACTGCACCTGTTAGAAATGGATGGCCGAGTGTGTACCTGGCTGTGTCTATTCCCAACAACAACGAAATAAAAATGTAAAAAGAAAAAGAGCTGATTTAAAGCATCATTTCAACAAAATACTTTACCAAAGAAGACATAGAAATGGCTGTTAAGCCCATGGAAAAAATTCCCAATAGCATTAGGAATTAGAGAAATCTAAGTTTTAAAAGTCAACGAAGTACCACTTACTGCTGCAACCCCCAAACACACTGTCATTGAGTCCGTTCCAACTCAGAGGGTCCCCAGAGGGCAAAGTAGAACTGCCCCTTGGGCTCTTGAGGCTGTGAATCTTTTCTTTTTTTTAATATGGAATGCTTCACAAATTTGCATGTCATCCTTGCACAAGGGCCATGTTAATCTTCTGTACATTGTTCCAATTTTAGTATATGTGCTGCTGAAGCAAGCACAATTATTTTTTTTAATCGTTTTATTAGGGGCTCATACAACTCTTATCACAATCCATACATACATCAATTGTGTAAAGCACATTTATATATTCATTGCCCTCATCACTCTCAAAACATTTGCTCTCCCCTTAAGGCCCTGGCATCAGGTCCTCATTTTTCCCCCTCCTCCGAGGTTGTGAATCTTTATGGGTGCCTTTAGCTGCATCTCTCTCCCTCCCTTGGAGGGCTGGTGGGTGGGAACTACTGACCATGTGGCAAGAGCCCCAGGCCTAATCCATGAAACCACCAGGGCTCCCTACAATACTGCTAGAATGACTGCACTATTGTTAAATGACTAAATCACAGTAACAGAAGTCTTACCTAGGATACTGAGAAACTGGAAGGACTTCTCATTGCTGGTAGAAGTGCGAATGCTACAACCACCTTGGAAAATAGGTCAGCAATTTCTTAGAAAATCAGGCATGCACTTCGCAGATGACCCAGAACTATGTTCACAAATAGCCGTTACAACTTCATCTTTAAATAGTCCAAAGCTAGGAATGACCCAAATGTCCATCGGTGAGTAAACTGATAACAGATGTTGGTACATCCATGCCAGGAAGCACTACCCTGGCAATAACGTGAGATGAATAATTAATACTCACCACACGGATGGGCTTCCTTTGCATTATGTTAAATATGGTAAGTCTGATTTAACAACCTATGTACTGTGACTCCATCTATATAAAACTCTGTAAAAGGCAAAATTGAAGGGGAAAAATTTTTTTTTAATGAAGGACATCAGAGCAGTGATTGCTAAAGGCTGGGGTAGGGTTATTCTCTGGGTGAGGTGGAGAAATTACACTCACTGCCCCCAAGGTCCTATCTTATCTTTTCAGTTGCAGCTTCTGCATATAATATAGTCTCTAATCCCCTTGCTGCTGTGTTTGGCATCCTCCGTGCACACATCGGATTGCTGATAATAACCCACTTGAAATTCAATTCCCAGATCTAAAGGTAATAATGTTGGAAAAGAAGGTTTAGTAAAAGTTAACCGACTTTTAAATGACACCACCTGAAACCTGGCTCTAAAGAACAAATAGATTTCCAAACTATATTTGAGGAAGGCATGGGAACACTGAGAAGCTTTTGAATTTCCTTTTCTGGGAAACAGAGCAGTGTAGGCCCAGAGCCTGGCCTTTGGGGTGTGATAGGAGCCGGGGATTGAAGTTGTGACACTCCCAGGCTCTGGTTACGTGTGGCATTGAGCACAACTGCAAGAGAGCTCTTTAAAGTGTTCAAAGCAGAGATGTAACTTTGAAGACTGAAGTGTGCCTAGCCCATGTCATGGTATTTACTTCTTAAACTTTTATTTGGACATGGGTGAAATCTTACGGAGCGGAGCATCGATTTAACAGTCAGCAATTCCTATACATATTCCAACCCATCCATTGCAGTGCCTCCATCGTGCCATCACTCATTCCACTTCCTCCCAGTCTTTTCGGTTCCCATCCCTCATTTTGGACCCTCTGCACTTTGTCCTAGGGCAAATGCTGCCCTTTGTGCTTAAGTAGTTGATTATTCAATCCCATCGTGAGTTCAAGTCTAGGCCTGCAGGGAGACTAAGAGCGATTGTCTTGAGGGTGCCACCGGTCTCTGTCAGATAAGTAACTCGGGTCTCTTTTATGATTTTGGTGTTTGTTCCACATTTTTATATCCCACTCTATGCAGGATCTTCCAATATGATCCTTTTCCAAGCATTGGTAGTTGTAGCCGGGCACTGTCTAGTTTCGGAGACTGATGTTTGTCTGGTCTATTGGACTAATTGTTTCCATGGATCTGTCTCTCTTCATGATTTTTCTTTTTTCTGGACAGGGATAGACTAAGAGTTGCACCTCTGAGTGCTGCTCAGGAGCTTTTAAGAGGCCAGTTGCTAATCAGCCAGGTAGGATGTAGAGCATTACCTTTATGAACTATGTTATGCCAATTGACCTTGATGCCTCCTGGGACTATGGTCCTGATCCCTGAGACCAAGGGTCAGTAAACTGTGTCTCGAGAGCCATATTTGGCTCTTTCGGTATATATATATATATATGGTTCTGACGTAAAATTGAAAGGATATTATTCAGAAAATGTTGATTTCATTTGCTTATAAAAATACATGTATGGCTCTTGAATCATTTTTAAATTGTGAGGGACAGGATTGGCTCTTCCATCTCAAAAGTTTGCCGACCTCTGCTCCAGGCCTTGAGCAACTCAAGAGGCTTGCGTCCGTCTAACACGCTTTTATAACTCTGCCCCTGTGCACTAGCACACTCACATATATTTGCAGCAAAGGTAAGCACACGTATACAAAAATCCTCTGTTGGGTCTACATATAGTCATGGGAATACTCCTACTCCCTCCCACACCTACTCCGCCTGCGTGTCTATCTAAGCAGCTCTTTAGAGAGCTCCACTATTGCAGGATTGTGTAGATTACAGTATTTGTCTTGTCGACTGTAACTTTTGCAAATCTCCCAGAAGCCCTGGTATTTTCATTTGCGTCCTATGCACGTGAAAGCTGGTCAATAAAGAAGAAAGACCCAAAGGGAAAATTGGACGCATCTGAATTATGATGTTGGTGAAGAACATTGTTCTTCTGGTAGTCCAAGGCATCTCAAGCAAGTCTGTCTCGGAGGAAGTACAACCAGAAGGCTGCTTAGAAGCGAGGATGGTGAGACTCTGTCTTACGCACTTCAGACAGTCCCTGGGAAAGGAGACCAGGCTTGATAGAGGGTCAGCAAAGAAGAGGGCGACCCTTAACAAGAGGGACTGACACCCGGACTGGAACAATGGGCTCAATAAAACAGTTGTGAGGAGGCGCATGACTGGGCAGCGTTTTGTTCTGTTGAACATAGAATCGCTGGGAGCTGAAACCTAACAAGAACAAGTTGTGTACGCTTGGGCAAAGCACGTAACCTCTCCGTTTTCTGACCTGTACCCATCTTTAGGGCTTCTGGTAGATCTTCAATGAGGAACATATGCACAGCACCCAGCAAGGGGCCGGCAAGGACTTGAGACTTGTCATCTCCCTCCCCTGCTTTTCTACGAAAAAACCAGGTAATTCTGGGCTGGTTTGGGGGTGGTTCTTTTGAGGCGTAAATGGAACTACATGACTTCTCAAAGCCTGGCAAGCTATGGGGTTGTAGAGGACTTGTTTCCAGGCCCCCACCCATCTCATCACTGCCACCCATACACTCGACACACAGATGTCTCCCCTTGAAGGTTCCAAGCACGAGGCTCCCCTGGATCTGGTGCGAGAAGCCATGCTTCTAGATTGTTTTTACCTTGCCAACTAGAAATCATTTGATTTTGTCTTCCTAATCATAATGCAAGGTCAACAGTTCAAAAACACTGGTCCCTCCTTGAGAGAAAGAAGGGTTTTCTACTCCAGTAGAGCCGCAGTCTCAAAAACCCACAGGGGCAGTTTTACCCTGTCCTAGAGGGTCGCGCTGAGTTAGTATAGACCCGAGGGTGATGAACTTGGTTTTGCCATGATGCTGTATGGGAGGTTCATGATCTGGGAGATGTGTTCCTTTTAAGCACACCTTTTCTCGTGACTTCTGGGAAAGCTCAGAAAGACAAATGTCCAGCAGCTGCTTCAAGAGTGTGTTCTAAGGCCCCCATTGGCCTTATTGGTTTCTATAAACTTTGTTAGTGATTGTGGGAGATTTGATCTGCTACTACAAATAATCCAGCATTCAAAATTTAGGTACCATAATTCATCACCTTAGAGTGCTCACTGGAGATCTGATGGCAGGGGCAGGGTGGGGGGGTGGGGGTGGGGGGGTGTTATTGTGCTCACACTGAACACGCAACCTGCAGGGATTCATTAAGGTCTTTCCATGGCAGCGTGGCTGGATTACTGCCCTTTCTAGCGGCAACAGCCTCACCAGAGAGAGAGAGCTAAGCAGGCCTCTGCACTGGGTAAAACGGATTGGGTGTACTACCTGCCCTAGAAATGTGAATGTTGCCCTTTTTTAAAGGCATTCTTGCACTGTTCATTAGCTTTTTAGAAATGATTTTTAAAATGTATTTTGCTAAAATAAATACAGCATTCAAATTTCTAAATTGTAAGCATTTTTAAGAAGTCAGTGGCAGGACATCCCAGGGTTGTGCCATCATTCCCACTACTTATTTCCAGAACTTTTTCCTTACCCCAAACAAAACCAATCTCTGTACCCTCTAATCAGTAACTCCTGTTTGTCATCTTTTCATGAATACTGTCTGTTACTCTTGCCACCAGTGCACACCCGCTGCAATCCAAAAAGCAGGGAGTTCTTAAGCCCTGGTCCTCTCTTCAGGTATTCCGCTGATACCAAGTGTGGCACAAGGCGAGCAGGAAACCAGAATTAGGGAGAACCAACACCTCTATCCTCTCAGAAGTACCTCTTTAGATGATGCTAGAGACCAGAGATGTCTCTCAAAGGCCCCAAACCAAGGAGAGTGCCAGCTGATTCCCATTTGGTCCTGGGGGCCAGTGTGAAGTAGGTCTTGGCAAAATTGAAGGTGTGAGTGATCGAGACTGTGGAGGGAGAGTTCACGCCATCCCCAGCTGTGGGGCTTCCATCGGCTAAGGCTCCAGTGACTCATCAGCTGATGAGCAATCCTCATATGCCCGACTTAGAGGACTTACTCACCCTTCGGAGAAAGACTTTAATGCAATAAAGCAAATGTCAGCAAGTGGGACGCAGCTTAGCGCATCACCCCAGCTTCCCACGCCCTGCTTGAGGCCCCTGCAGTCAGTCAGAACCTGGACAGGCCCACACGATGGGCATGCTTCCAGGCCATATGCCAAGGGTGATCAGAAGCTCAGAGATGGACATGGGAGAGGAGACCCCTGTATCACCCAGACAAAGCCCTGGAGAACATCCATTGGGAGAAAGGTTGAGATAGGCTCACTAGCACCTTGAGTTAGGGGACAGGGGAAAGGCTAGACCAGGACTTGCTAATCCCACTTTCTGCCCCTGGAAGCTCTTGCTTAGACCCTCAGGACAAGGGGAGTGGATTGGAGAAAAGGGGGCTTCCCCAGCCAAGGTGGCTTTCCAATGAACCTGTGCAGGGCAAGTTAGAGAAAGGAGGGAGGATTCAAGCCAAACCTTTGATACGACATATTTACAAAGAGCTGGCTACCCTGGGTTGTCGCCACCTTGCTGTTTGCAGACATGGTGGTGTATGTTGAGGAAGCTAGGGGCATCTTTGGACTCAGATTGAAGGTATGCTTAGAATCCCCTCATGTATCCGGCACCAGTTGATGGGGCAGCATAAATCTCAGGCAGATGCTCATACCCCATGACTAGGACAGAAGCCCCAAAAGTTAGGGAGGAAGAAAGGTAGGCCCAGTCATGGGGAGACGTTGATGGTGCCTTCTTTCCTCCACCAACGCAGTGAAAATTACTCAGAAGGCAAGCTGATTCAGTCTTGGATTTAAGCCCACCCATTGAGGGATTTACCTAGGAATTCCTGAGGGAATTATCTGGAAGCATTCATTCTGAGGTTAAAAACCGGGGGTGGGATGGGAGGCACTTAAGCCAAGCCTTCATCTAGTTCACTTCTCTAAACTTGAACGTTTATACAACTTTTTCTGAGTGTCTACCTTGTGCCAGCCACCGGCCACAAGCTTGGCACTCAGGGTTGCTGGAATCGAGGGCTTTGAGCTTTAAGGGACTTACAGGATTACTAACGGAGTTCTCACTTCAGGGACGAGGAACGCAAGATTCCGGTGGAACACTCTGACACTGGGCGGATCAGTTTCTACATTACTGTTAACTCAAAACAAAACAAAGCCGACTGCCAGTGAGGGGATTCCTAGTCACATGGACCAACCCTATGTGATGTTTCCAAGGCTGAACTGTCCAGGGGCAGACACAGAGCCCCATAGCCCACCACCGCCACCTTACAATTCCTTTGGGAATAAAATCCCACCCCTCCAATCACGAGGTCCTCTTCTCTCACCCCAATTCACTTAGGACCAAGGAGAGGTGTTTTCCTTCAACAATTTTATTTTTCACTATATATCTATATATATAAAAAAAACAACAGCCAGTAACACACTGCTTTCCTTCACATTCACATGGGTTTTAGGAAATTATTGCCTTTTCCCCTGGAAAAATAACCTACAGACAAAAACAAAACAAAACAACCAGTAATAGTACCACATAGCGAAATCCACAAACCCCAGAAGTCAACAGCTTGAAGACAACCCCCAGGGTCAGGGGAGAGAACACGTGTCCCAGGAGACGGAGACACAGGACGCAGGAGGACAACAAGCCAGGGAAACAACGGCTTGCTGCGACACTGGCCAGAATACAGAGTGGTCTTCCTGTCCTCCGGGCACCCACTGCTACCCACCCCAAAAGGTGATTTTTGGTCTATCGTCTGGAGCAGTTTCCCAGGGACACAGCAGGGGCTTGGAGGAGAGGTGCAACGAGAGAGATTCAAGTATGAATCAAAATCACACAACTCTCAGGTCAGGGAAGAAGCCACAGTGGACAACAAAGTCTTTCTACTTTAACCGCATGTCTCCAGTGGGCCCAAGGGAGCCTCTCCAGAACACCAGTAGATGCCCCACCCAACAAACAGGGTAGTTCTGACCACTGCCCCTCCTCCACGTGGCCTGGCAGGTGGTCTGTGCCCAAGGGCTTCTGTTGCAAGTGGCTTAGGGAAACATCTCAATACGAGAGCAGCATTCCCACTGGGATGGCTCCCATGGGCAGACCTATATAGCCAGTGGCATTGCTTTCCTGACTGGATGATGATCAGCTTATCCTGAAGCAACAGAGACAGACACCAGGACGGTCAGAGTTCAAGAAGTAGAGTGGGAATTGTGCTTCCTTCCAAAGGAGCTGGCTTGGATCCGCCTCGTCCCCTGGTCCAGCAACTGCTTCCTCCCACGTTGCTGCCGCTATTTATTGCCTTATGCTTGAAATGAGAAGGCGAAGAAGGTTGAGGTGCCTGGACGAAGCTGTCCTGAGAGGGAGCACAGGGGATCTGGAAGTACAGTAGTCGGCACACGCTGTGCTCGCAAATGGCTTGGCCTGCCCCCACTCCCACCCCCCCCACCGAGGTCAGTCCGAAGTCTGTTCGCAACAGGTGACCCCTCACTGTCCCACCGGGCCAGTGTGACAAAGGGAGGCCTTCGGTATTGCCAAGGTCTGAAATGTCTGTGAGTTTCAAAGACAGTATCACAGTTGCTCTTGGGGCTGGGTTGGCTCCCCATCCTGGATTTAGCAGGACGTGGCTGTGGCCACAGGGCTCCTGCCGAGCTCTGAGACTGTCGGGTGGGTGGGCACTGGCGCCAGCACCGAGGTAGGGAACGTGCAGTAGGCGCCCTGCACATCAGGGCTCAGCGTCTGCAAGTGGTCTAGAAAGGAAGAGCCCGCCGCCTCCCCTTGGCAGGAGGGAGCCTGGGGAGCGGGCATGGAAGGCAGGACCTCAGATTCGTACTGCAGGAGCTGACCCAGGAAGCCGAAGTTGGGCGAGACCACACTCCTCCTCTGCTTGATGTAGTCGAAGGCCTCCTTCAGGTGCAACTGCTGGGTCTTCATGAGGTAAGCCATGCAAATGGTAGGCGAGCGGGAGATGCCGGCCTCACAGTGGACGAGGACCTTGCCTCCCTTTTCCCTGACACAGTCTGGAGGGAAGAGAAGAGGGTGGGGATGAATCCAAGGGCAACGCCAAGGCACAAGCATTATGCAGGAAAGAATCTTGCAAGCAAACTGTTTTGCATGCTTACTTATGGTATTATGGTAATATTATGGTAATAATATTAGTGTAATATTACTGGTCCTCTGCCAGTCTTGAATCAAACTGCTAAGGGCAGAGCTTCTGAAAATTCCATGAAGTCTATCCCTGTGGAGAACCTGCCTCCAGGATACTTGTTGCCATTGCTTCTGCCACTGGAGGCGCTAGACCAGGAGCAAGCCCTTTCTGGGGATCTCCTCACAACCTGAATTCCAGGAGCAGGTGTTTGTTTGTTTGTTTGTTTTTTTAAGTTGTCAAGGATTTTATTTTACTTGAATCCACAATCATGACTCTTGGAATGAACAAACAAGATATCAAAAAAGGCATTGTATTGGGCAAATCTACAGCACAAGATTAACTTAAAGTGTTAAAGAACAAAGACATTACTCTGAAGACTAATGTGCTTCTGAGCCAAGCCATGATATTTTCTTTTCTTTTTTTCCCCAAAGGGCATCTTTGATTTTCTAAGATGGTCCCAGGCTCAAAAGACTAGCTGTAGCAACCATTCCTCTCAGGTTCTAATGGGCAGACCTGCTCCAGGCTGGTTGAGGCCTCCCGGCCACCCTAGACACCCAGTCTAGCTGTTCCAAGGCAGGATGTGCTTGGCTCAGCTCCCAGGGTTCCTACCATGAACCATACAGTAAATAGTGCACAGCCTCTAATTATAGCCCTGGCTAAGTGACGCTTACTAGATGGAGGATATAAATGGATTTAGCAAACTACATCTTGCACAACAATGGGAGCTTTGCTATAAAGCCACCACCATCAGCTTATATTCTCTAAATTCATTATGACAAAAAATAGGGGAGGACCCCCTCCTTTCTTGCCCCTCTTCAGGGCTCCCATCCCCCAAAACTACAGCTCTGGAGGACGGGCTGATATTTTATATTTTATAAACACAACAAACCACAATCTTTCCAATTCCTTCTTCGCTAATAAGAAAAAATTCTCTCACCGGAAGTTAGATGTAATTTGCACAAGAGAAGGCCAGGGTATGCAAAATAGTTATGATTTTGAAGGGCGGAGGGAAAAGCCAGCCCCCCTTCCCATCAATTTCAGTTAGTTTGCAAATGCAACTGTTAAGATTGAAGAGAGAACATTTCTGAGGGATCAGAGACGAGCCCCAGGGTTTTCCCTACTGAACCAAGACCCCAAAGGGCAGGTCTCTGGGGACAGTGTCACTCCATCAGTCTCTGGCTCACGAAAAGGAAAAAAAAATCCTTCTAAGTAGTCCACCAACTATATATAAAGTGTGTCAGGGTTGCCTCCTCTCACCGCACTTGTTCAATCTGGATGTGAAGCAAATAATCAGCTGGATTATACGAAGAAGAACATGGCATCAGGATTGGAGGAAGGCTCATTAACAACCTGCACTATGCAGGTGACACAACTTTGCTTGCAGAAAGTGAGGAGGACTTGAAGCACTTGCTGATGGAGACTCAGGATTGCAGACATCTCAAAAACGAAACCCTCGCAACGGAGCCAAGAGGCAGCATCACGATACACGGAAAAAAGATCCAAGTTGTTGAGGGGTTTGTCTTGCTTGAACCCGGTCAATGCTCATGGAAGTGGCAGTCATGTGCTCAAAGGGCGTATGGCATTGGGTAATCCTGATGCACAAGACCTCGTGCCAAAGTGTTGAAAAGCAACGGATGGAATTTGAAGACCAAGGTTCACCTGACCCGAGTCATGCTATTTTCGATAGTCTCCTATGTGAGGGGAAGCTGGACAGTGAGTAAGAAAACACTGGAGAGGAATCTATGCGTTTGAACTACGGTACTGGCGAAGAATATTGAAAGTACCGTGGACTGCCAAAAGAACAAGCAAATCTGTCTTGGAATAAGAGCCAGCATGCTTCTCAGAGGCCAGGATGGCAAGACTTTGTTCTCATGTAACATCGGACGTGTTGTCAGGAGAGACCAGTCCCTGGAGAAGGACACTATGCTTGGTCAAATGGAGAGGCAGCAAACAAGAAGGCCCTTGACACGCTGGATTGGCCCAGTGGCTGCAACAATGGGCTCAAACCTAAGAACAACTGTGAGGACTGAACAGGACCGGGCAGGGTTGCTTCAAGTTGGTACTGACTCCATGGCACTAACAACGTAAGTGGTCCACAGGAGGGATCCCCGAATGACTAGGATTTGGGCTTGTGGCTCTTCTTCCCTTTTGGTCCTCTGCTGGCCCCCTTCAATGTCTAACTTTCTAATTGCCCCAGTGTGACACCCAAGGGCCTAGGCTACATAACACCTCAGAGGCTGGCCTTCCCCTGGCCCCCATTCAGACCACCCTTGGGAGTGTCTGGGCATGGCTTCAGCACATTGCCCACGAGATGCTCGTCCCTCCCTCCCATCAACTGAACCAGAGCCTGGGACAACGCCTCCTGTGGGTTTGGGCAGTTGTGTCCACAAACACAAATACACACAAGACAGGGAGGGAGGGTTCTGAGAAGTGGACGGGGGCGAGTCTAATGACCTCAGTAGGTAGCTATCTAGGTAATTAAATAACCAGGCTGAGAAGGGCAAAGCCTTCCCAGGGGCTGTGGGCCAAGGCCAGAGTTTCTTATCCAGCACCCATCGTTGTGGTGGCCTCAGCCTGGAGACAGGAGGTGACTTCTGGCAGCTTCCTCACCAGGTTTTTCCTGGGCAGCGGAAATGATGTGTGAGCGTGCCCAGCACGTGGCGCAGGGTGCCTGTAATTGCTCCCTCCTCTTAGTCATTACTGCTGGGCTTAGCACCTGCCTTTGCCCTTCAACGTCCCTCGAAACACACCACACCGTGTTGTTTCAACCACTACATGTGTTGAAGATGGAGAGGAAGAAGGCTGCAAAGGGAGGCATGCCTGCCAGGTTGGAGAATGGTGTTTGCAAATCTCAGACAGAAAATGTCAGGGCAGCCCTCAAGGCAGAAGGATGGGGACAGCGCAGAAACCTAGACGCTAAAAGCCCTTTGAGTCGAGTGCAATCTTTAATACAAAACTAGCTGAAAACATAAAACAAAATGCCCCCATGCTGTTTGCCAAAAAAAGTTGCTGGGCTCTCAGGGCTGGGTGGTAAGTGGCGTTCTCTCAATCCCTCTGTTTACTTTTAAAATATCCCAACCTACGTAAAAGCCCAGTTGGGGGGGGAGGGGGAGCTCACCGCCCCTTGCTTCTCTCACGTGGTGCCTTCTGTGCAAATGTGTCCCCTGTTCCCGCCCAGGCAGAAACAATAACAAAAGCACTGTTGCCATAAAACTGCATGAATCCATTTAAGCCGTAAATTAAAACATCTATTAATAGCAACTTAAATCCTCCTCTCTGCCTTTCCAGCAGCCTTTCCATCCCGGCCCCAACTTTGGGTGGCTGTGGAGACAAGGCACCCCTTCTTCTTGGGGAAGGTAACCCCTAGGTCCCCCATTAGTGCATCAAAACCCAAGTCCATGAGCCCCCGGGGAGAGGGGCCCGGCGTGTGGACCTACCGATGAAGTCTATTGCTTCTTGGAAGTGGGAGCTGATGTCGGTCGTGTGGCTGTCCTCCACGGGGATCCACTTGTAGTGCAGGTGGGCCGTGTGGGCCTCGGAGGTTCGCCGCGAGACGTTCAGCAGGGCTGTGATGTGCAGGTTGGCGAGGAACTCGCACTTGGATGCATGGTAGGCACTTCCGAGGTAGAGGAAGGGAAGGATTTCAACGGGGCCGCCCTGTAAGCGAGGACAAAGGACACCAGGAAATACTGGATTAGCTTGCTCAAAAACAACCAGCCTGACCTAGTTCTTTCTTAACGTGGGTGGCTCCCTTCCTGGTTTCCAGGTGGACGGGAAGACTGTGTTGCCCTTCTAGCTGCTCTTGGAGGGCAGGACCTTGAACCCCGGGGCCACCTTCGGTCTCTTTACCTGTAAAATGGCAGTTTGCGGTTCTGACATCTGATAGGGGGTAGCTCATCTTAAGATACCCTGGTGGTTCTATGGTAACGAGCTCAGCTGGTAACTGAAAGGGTGGCAGTGATCTGCTGCTCTCAGGGTTACCAGCTCGGGAACACTCTAGAGCGGCCCTACTCTGGTCATCCAGACAGGGTCCCTGTAAATACAATCCCCTCAACAGCCGGCAGCCACCACACCAGCCATCCTAAGACTGAGATGCACTTAAGAGTTCAGATGTTCAGATACAACCTCTTTAAAAAAACAAAACTGTGCTTCTTAGAATTGGAACCAACTACTGTTTACCCAGAATCCTCATATGAATTAGTGAAAATTGAAGGCAGAGGGGCTTTCCCACCTGCCCCCCGTCCCCATTCACAGAGAGCTTAGGCTAGTGGAGAGATGCTTGCCTTCCACGTGCCAGACTCACACACACACACACACACACCCAGGCGTCTAATTAACGAGACACAGATTAAGGGAGAACCAGAGACCACGTTCCCCGAGGCAAAGGTAACAAGAACTGCTGGCTACTTGCACTTGGCAGTCTTGGCATCAACAGACTTCTAAGGTGGCAATGAGAAACCCAGGTGGTGCCATGGGTTAAGCCATGAGCTGCCAATGACAAAGCCAATAGGTCAAACCCCACCAGCTGCTCTTTGGGACAAAGATGACGTTGTCTGACCCTGTAGAAGATCTGCAGCCTCACAAGCCCTATTTGAGGATTTCTAAGACATGGGAATGACTTGATGGCAGTGGCTTTCAGATGGCTGCCTCTCCTGTCCCATCCATCCATCCATCCACCCACCCACCCACCCACCCATCCATCCATCCATCCATCCATCCA